GCTCGGAAACAAGTTTTTATACGGTGAGGTAGGCGTTCGAGACTTCCTTGGGCCGCGTGCTGCTGCTGTTGAGATCGTCGGCATCTTCTGCGACGGCGTTGAAGTAAAAATGCCGACGCAAGGCGTTGAGGGGATCTGCGTCGTTAATATACCCAGCTTCGCAGGTAATCCAATCCTGCTGCTGCTGCTGCTGCTGCTGCTAATGCTGCTGCTGCTGATTGTGATGCTGATGATGCTGCTGCTGATTGTGATGCTGATTGTGATGCTGATGATGCTGCTGCTTATTGTGATGCTGATGATGCTGCTGCTGATTGTGATGCTGATTGTGATGCTGATGATGCTGCTGATGATTGTGATGCTGCTGCTGATGATGCTGCTGCTGCTGATGATGATGATGCTGCTGTTGCTGCTAATGCTGCTGCTGCTGCTGCTGATTGTGACGCTGATGATGCTGCTAATGATGCTGATGCTGATGATGATGATGCTGCTGCGAATGCTGCTGCAAATGCTGCTGCTACTGCTACAGATGCAGCAGATGCTGCTGCGAATGCTGCTGTTGATCCTCCTCCTCCTGTTGCTGCTGCTATTAATGTTGCTGATGCTGCTGTTATTAAAGCTGCTGATGCCGCGTTTGTTGTTGATGATTATAGCTTTGCTGCTGGCGGTGTTTCTGCTGCTGCAGCCGTTGCTGCTGCAGCAGCAGCAGCTAATTTTGTGTGTGCTGTCTGTGTTTATTTGCTGCTTTAGGTGGTGTAATGTTGTGGGGTGACTCGGAGACGCAGCAGCAGCTGCTGCAGCAGCACCATCATCCGCATCACTATCAAAACGAAGAGCAGCATCAGCATCAGCAGCAGCAGCAGCAGCACTGCCGCCGATCTCTCATATCTCGAGGGGATGTTGCAGCTTCGTCGTTTTCATCATCATCTTCGTCTGCTTCGGAGACGGGGCTGAGGAGGAGACGGACGCAGCCTCGCAAGCGGCATCGCGCTGCTGCTGCTGCTGCAGCAGCAGCAGCTGCTGCTGCTGCTGTTGCTGCGGGAACCGACAGCCCTGCTGCGTTTTCTACACCCGCAAGTCCAGGGCGGAGGCGAGCGTCTGCAACAGCAGCAGCAGCAGCAGCAGCTGCTGCTGCTGCTGTGGGGTCGCAGCAAGTCCTCCAGCGCACGGAGAAGCACACCGCTGCAGCCGCAACAGCAGCAACAGCAGCAGCAGCAGCAGCAGAAGACAGCAGCACTTTGCGAAGAAGCGGACGGAGCCACAGCGACGGATATGAAGATGATGGGGATGCATCTGCCCTGCAGCAGCAGCAGCAGCAGCAGCAGCAGCAGAAGCTGCAGAAGCGGCTGCGGCAGCAGCAGCAGAAGGGGCCCCGCTGCTGGCTTACAAGCGAGCCTTCGTCTCCACACTCTGCTAATGCTGCTCCTGCTGCTGCTGCTGCTGCAGGAGAGCGAATGAGATGTGGTTTGCAGCAGCAGCAGCACACGAGCGCCCCCCATTTGGGTTTGCTGGCTTCTTCTATGCAGCAGGAGCAGCAGCAGCAGCAAAAGAGGAAGCTGCGGCAGCAGCAGCAGCAACAGCAGCAGCAGCAGCAGCAGCAGCAAGGAGGGCACTGGAAGCCGCAGAAGATTGACGACGGTCTTATTGAAGTCGTCGCATTTAAAAGCCTCTTCCACCTCGGACAAGTGCAGGTATATTGCTGCTGCTGCTGCTGCTGCTGCTGCTGCTGAGGATAGTGCTGCTGCTGATTGTGCTGTTAACTGTGCTGCTGCTGTGGATTGTGCTGCTGCTGATTGTGTTTCTGCTGCTGCTGCTGCTGCTGTTGGTGTCTTCGTGTTTTGTGTGATGGATTGGCTGCGGAGTTTCACTTCACTTTGCTGCTGCTGCATTTGCTGCTGCTGCTGCTGCTGCAGCATTTGCTGCTCTTATTCCTGCTTCTGCTCCTTCTTCTTTTTGCTGCTTTTGCTGCTCTATTTGCTGCTGCATTATTTGCTGCTGCACTATTTGCTGCATCATTTGATACTGCAGTATTTGCTGCATCATTTGCTGCTGCATGATTATTATTTGCTGCTGCTGCTGCTGCTGCTGCTGCTGCTGCTGCTGCTGCTGCTGCAGACATAGCCAAACCAACCTGCAGTAATTAATCATTATGTCTGTTCGCTGGCAGCATCTGCTGCATTATTATTATTCTCATTATCGTTGTGATTAATTGCTTCTGCTGCTGCTGCTTCTGCTGCTTCTGCTGCTGCTGCTTCTTCTGCTGTTTCTGCTGCTGCTGCTCCTTCTGCTGTTTCTGCTGCTGCTGCTTCTGCTGCTACTGCTCCTTCTGCTGCTTCTGCTGCTGCTTCTGCTGCTGCTGCTTCTGCTGCTGCTTCTGCTGCTGTTTCTGCTGCTACTTCTGCTGCTGTTTCTGCTGCTGTTTCTGCTGCTGCTGCTGCTTCTGCTGCTGCTTCTGCTGCTGCTGCTGCTGCTGCTGCTGCTGCTGCAGGTTGGTTTAGCAAAAGCAGTACGCCTTTGTCAAGGCCGACGAATTTGTTTACATCTTCGAGGCAGTTTACCGCTGCAAGTCGATGGAGAGCCGCAGCTAATTAAAGAAGCATGCAGGATATCTATTTCGCATAAGTAAGATTATATATTATTATTATTTTATTTATTATTTATTTATTTGTTTATTTATTTGTTTATTTGTTTATTTGTTTATTTATTTGTTTATTTATTTGTTTATTTGTTTATTTATTTGTTTATTTGTTTATTTATTTGTTTGTTTATTTATTAATTTTCATGCAGGATATCTATTTCGCATAAGTAAGATTATATATTATTATTATTATTATTATTATTATTATTATTATTATTTATTTACTTATTTGTTTATTTGTTTATCTAGTTTGTTTATTTATTTATTTATTTGTTTATTTATTTGTTTATTTATTTATTTATTTTCATGCAGGATATCTATTTCGCATAAGTAAGATTATATCTATTATTATTATTTATTTATTTGTTTATTTATTTATATAGTTTATTTATTTATTTATTATGTATTTATTTATTTATTTATTTATTTATTTATTTATTTATTTATTTATTATTTGGTTTTACTTTAAAAGCAAAAAAATATTTTGTAGTTTTTTTTATTTTTTTGTTGAAGTGTTTGACTGTAGACAAATTTAATAATTAATTAAATTAATTTTTATTAATTATAGCTGATATAA